GTGAGACCGCCTTATTGGTGAATCTGTTCTAGGTCCACCCCTTTTCTTGCCTGCATTCACCTACGAGAGTGGAAGTTCCACGAGGGCAGATCTGGGTCTGTCTTGTTACTGTTGTATGTACCCTCAGAGCCCGTACCAGTGCCTGGCCCACTGTGAACACTCACTGATGGAGTGCTTTATTGACGGACTCGGTGAATGAATGAACCTTTAAAAAGGCAACTCTGCCTTGAGAGCTGTCAAGTGCTTATGGAGAGGCCACTTTGAGGACAAGGTGAAGTCCTGCGTTTTCTTTTTTCTGCTGCTCAGAATGATGGGAAAGGTTGCCCTAGTCCCGGCCTGGCCTCCTTTCCTGCCATGGTTGTGATTTCAGCGCTAATGCTGTTTCTACTGGAAGGCCTTTCATCCTACTCTTTGGTCTTCTTCACCAGCTTGCAGGTGATGGTGTGGTTGCGATCCATTCAGACAGACCGTGTCTTCACCAATGGTTTGCCTTTGAAGGTCTGAGCTGAACATAGAGGTACTGAAGCTTTCTTCAGGGGGTACAAGGCCTCAAACTGCAATTACCAACTTAATTCACATTTTGAAGATTAGAGTCGCCTTAAAAGGACTAAGAAATACACTGACAAAATGGGCTGTATCACTCGATGGAAAGACATTCTGCATTCAAGAAGCTCAGAGGAGAGGGAAAAATCCCTCAAGGGCATTTCAAAGTCAGGCTGTGTACTTGCTAGGATCCCCCAGCCCACTGTTCTGCAAGCTTCTGAACATGATGCTCCTGGGGAATTGTGATGGCAAGAAAGACTGTCCACGTCTGGCGTGCCTGAATGAGCAGCTGACGTTTGCTTCCGAAAGGCTCCCGAAGGGCAGAGAATCATGAAGGGGAGAAGGCATCAGCTGGAAAGTAGATCCCCAGGAGGTGGAAAGAAGGGGACCCAGGGACACGACCCTGGAAGGATCTCTATTTCCAAGAGCCAAGTAGAGCCAGGCAAGGGGCTGCCTCGCGTTAGGCTTCCTCCTTCTTGTGTCAAATTTTGAGGTCACTACTGTTCATGCTTCTCCCGTAGCAGAGGTGAGGCTTGCTTTGGTGGCAAGGGTAGAGAGTCCTTTGATGCCCAAGAAACAAGGAAGATGGCAGCTTTTCCTTCTGTTTTCTAATGCACCAACCTGCCGGTGTCCCTTCAGTTTCTTCTCAATTGCAGAAAGAATCCTCATCTTCAAGGAGACCACAAGAAATGTAATCTAGCAAGAAAGTCTGCAACGGCGATGGCTTATGGAAATGTTGGAAAGCAGAGGTTAGCAATTCCATCCTCACTCATCGTGACCCCACTGAACAGAGGAGGACTGGTCCACAGGCTTTCCCAAAGTATGCATCTTTCGGGCACAGCCTCGTCTTTCTCCATGAAGCAGTTGGTGAGGGTGAACTATTGGCCTTGCTGTCAGCACACCACTCTTAACCCCTCACACCATCCAGGCTCGTTTATCCTAAGATCGTTTATCCTAAGATCGTCAAGCTCTCTCACTGCCATCGAGTTGATGCTGACTCCGATTGACCCGATAGGACAGGGGAGAACTGCCCTGGTGAGCTGCCAAGAATGTAACTCTTTACAGGAGTAGAAAGCCCACCTTTCTCCTGTGGAGTGGCTGGTGGTTTCGAACTGCGGACTTTATGATTAGCAGCCCGACTCGTAACCACTACGCCACCAAGGCTCCGGTAGAGGAAGTGGTAAATAGACCATCAGTCTGTTGATCACTGTTTGCCATCACCACCACACCCACCAACCTCACCACCACTTCTGTCCTCACCTGCACCATCAGCTTGACCATGGTCATCGCAACAGTCACTCCTACTGCCGCCTCCAGCATCCTCACCCTCACCACCAACACCTCAACCACCATCATCTCTACTCCACAACCCTCACCACCATGATTGCTACCAGCATCCTCAATACTACCACCCCGACTGCTTTCTCTACATCACCATGACGACATACGTCACCACCACTACCCTTACTGCTGTCATCACTGTGAGCATCACCACCTTTGCCCCTGCCCACGTCACTACCAGCACCAATAGTGCCACCACCATCGGCAACACCATCGCCGTGTGAATTAGTTAATTTTTTGTGCCAACCTGGCCGATAAACACAAGTGGGGTTAGTTGAAGGGCGAAGAGATAAATGGCTTGGTGAGCGTTGCCTTTCGAGTTCTCGGGTCTCTTATTTGTGATGGTCGCCCTAGGGTGCAGCTGCCTTAGCAGTTCCCTACTTCAGCTGGCAAGGCTCACTTCCTGCAAGACATCCCCAAGGAGAAGCGACATGGACCTTCCCCCATGCAGCCCTGGGTGCTGGAGCACCTGTGTGGAGACCCCTGCCAGCGCTGAGATGTTTACACCTTCACTGATTCAGCTTTCCTCCTGCAGTCGGCATCATAGTGTGTGTTTTGTGAGCTGGAGGAGGACTTTGTGGATTGGTGTTGGACATATGGGTTAATGGGTTAATGTTGGATGTTTCTTGATGTGCACTTAACCTTTATATAAAACTCTCTCTTATACATGAGTTTCTGTGAATTTTTTTCTGTAATGCACCCAGACTAATATACCATGATAAAAATACAGCACTTACTGGCTAATTTTCCCACAAGCAGATCCTCCAGTAGAGAGCTCACTGTTCTCCCAGTCTTGCTCCCTGAAGGACTTCGCACTTCTCCATTGCATTTTTAAGTGAGTGCGAAGCTGTTTAAGTCCTTAAACAAGTTCAAAGTAATTACATACATCTCAATACTGGGCTTGTCATGCACCATGCCATTTTCGTGGGGGAGGGGGGGTGCGGAGGAGGCAGGGATCAGCCATCGCGTCAACATTCCATTTTATTTTTCATTTTGTAACCAAATTTGATTTTAATTCTGTGTACATTTTAATCTTGTACATCTGGAAGTATTTCAGGTGCCAACACACCCACATCTTAAAGCCTTTGTGAAGAATTCGACCGGGCAAGGGAACGAAAGAGAAAACTGAAACTTCACTGAGAAAAACACAGTCAATTCCACAATTCTGGTCTTTCGTGCCTCAATTTGTCATCCCAGACTAAGGGCAAAACGTGGCTGCACGGAGCGATGCTAATTTCAAAATTAACGGGTCAGGGGAACTGGGCGTCACTGTGCCTTCAGAGTGATCAGTACAAATGAGATTCTCCACCCAGCGTCTTGGCCCCAAGGACTCCGCTCTCAGACTCAGCACTCTCTTGGCCTATACGCTTGTTTACAATGGCATGAGGTTGATGGGAGAAATGAGGTGACATGATCTCGGCTCACATGGCCCAGGAACCTCCGGACGAATCAGGGCAAGATGCTCCCTGTAGGCGCTCAGTGGGAGCAACGCTGTGACCTGGGGGTGGGGATCAGAAGCGACCGCTGATTACAGGCGTGGCTTGATTCTGCTGTGCCAAGTTAAACACTACCTCCGGGTAAATACACTTACCATCAACAAATGTCTATTAGACATCCTGGGTCTGGAAGAGCTCTTACTACATCATCCAATTTGTCTATTTGGCTACCTTGCAGGCCTACACCTCAATGACAACAGAGAATAACAACTCGGACTTTCTAAGATTCTTCTGGGCAGGCCTGGGTTTCGGTGTGGGGGTGGCCCTCTTCATACCCTGCATGAATGACTGAATCTAGTCCTGCTCCGGCAACACTCTACTTCCTCTGGATGGAGCCATTCTCCACCTGCACATGGCGGAGAGGAACATGGAAGTTCCCACTCGGTGTCTTGCCAGCTCTGGCTACTCTGCTTTCAGAGCATGCCCACTCCTGC